AATAGCTGGAGCTCTGGAGCCCTATCAGCGGGGTGGCTTTTTAGTTCATGAACAGTTTCCTCACCTTAATTGGCTCTCTAGGGCCCTGGGAGTAATGCTGGCACCTCTGAACAGTATCCGTTACTGGGAGAGCAATTCCCCTGGTAATGGGATGGAGGCAGGTTGTGTTTAGGGGGATGTGCTTGCTGCTATCAATACTGGCTGGAAAGCTATTGGCTAGAACACATTTGCTGAGTAAGGCAGTTCAGGATGGCTGTGATTGGGGGACAGTCTTGGAGGGTTGGAACTCTCTCATTTAGGGGGACTCTTATCCAAAAGGGACTAGTCATGGCTGAAGGCCAGAAAGCAGGAAAAGCCTTTAGAGTTTATGTTCAACTGCTCACGGCACAGATAAAACATTGGGAGTGCAGAAAGGGTTAGGATCCTGCTGAAGATCACATAATTGGTTGCTTACAGTATCAGGGAAAAAAATCCAACTTCCTTGCCTGACAGAGTAGGGCTTAATTGGACTTGAGGGCCACAGAAATTCCAGACCTCTGGTTCTCCCACTATCTCTCTTCCCAAGCCCAATTGGAAATGGGTTCAGTGGCTTTACATAGAGTATATCAGTACATCAGTTTTTGGATTGATTCCTGAGATTTAGGGTGAAAAGAGATAGAGGTGCTATCTGGGTCAGGGAGGGTCTATCAAATGAAACAAGCCAGACTCATTCTACCTATGCCTTCTGCATTCCACCATAGGTATTTTCTTGACATATAAAGCCTGTGTTACAGCCAAGTGGTTTCTAGGAGCATAATCTCTGAAGCTCATGCACCATACCCTTCATTCATTCATCTTTAACCTCAGCCTGGTTTTCATGCCGAGATTCTGACTCTTGGCTCAGATCTGCTGTTAAAGTCCTGCCCCCTAGCTCCTGGATATTCCTGGCTGTCTTTAGTTTATTTTCTATTCTTTCCTCTAGTTATAGTTTTCCTGACTTCACCTTACTTATTGCCACTCTGAGTTATGCTCTCAAATCCTTTAAATTCAACCCTCATCACACCATCAGACTCTGGGCCTATACTTTCAGCTACCTAAAGGCTCCCAGTTGGTTGCAGTTCAGAAGAGAAACTTAGCATGACTTTTCCAATCTGCCCCCAAATTAATTTTACAGCCTCCTGTCCTACCATTGCTCTCTACATGTTCTAGCTTTACCAATATTCCCCCAAAGAGGACCCACATTTTAAACATCTGTAATCCTCTTGTGGTGTTCCCTCCTCCTAAATGCCTTTCTTTGTTTGTAACATCCTACCCAAATTTGAAAGTCCAGCTCAAATGTGAACCAGTTACTAGAACTAGAGCTCACAGAGAGGGGAGTGGGCTTGTGAGCAAGCTGGATCCCCCTGATCATAGTTGGACCCCAAAGAGGGAGGCTAGAACAATTTCAGAAGCTTTTGCTTAAGGCTAGCAGTGTTGCTTTTTCTGTAAAGGGCTAGATAGTAAATACGTTTGACTTTGCTGATTGTGTGTTGTAACTACTCAACTCTACTATTCTAGTACAAAACATTAGCAGCCATAGACAATAAGGAAACTAATGATCATGACTGTGTTCTAAATAAACTGTGTTCTTTCTGGACAAAAGTAGGCAGCCTACAGTTTTCTGACCCCTGTTTTAGGAACTGCAGAAATTAGGTGGGGTTTAATCTGTGGGTCACATTAAGTAGGAATAGCTGTGTAGGAGTAGGCAAGACTAGAAAGATATGGGAGTTCTGGGTGGGGGGATAGTGTTCAGATGAGGCACATGGAGGAGAAGGCAGGTAAATATTAGAAAAGAAGGTAGTTAATTTGGGCTGGAATATGGGATACCTGGAGGAAAGAAATTGGAACTCTGTTCGAGGGTCTTGACAAGTTTAAGCTCTTCATAGATAGTGGAAGCCATTAAAGTTTTGTTGTTAGTGGAATATCTTATTTTATATATAATATTTAAAAAAGTCATTCTGGCTCAGTGAGAGGGATGATAGGGGAGATAAGATTGATACAGATAGGAAGACTCACTGGGAGATTACTTTAATTATTCAGGCATTTGGCTTTAAATTATTAGTACTTGAATTAGTGCTGGTCTGGATGCCTAAGAATTACTTGGGAAACTTGCTAAAAATAAAGATCTGGATTTGGTAAAGTCAGGATTTCTAGAAAACTCTCCAGATTTGAACATTACTAGTCTAGGCAAGGCAGGATTAAGCCTGACTTTAAGGGGGAAATAGGACATAGCTAAGATAGGATTTGGCAACTGTCCTCTTTCTCCTGTTCCCTGTCCCTGTTCATGACAGTTTTTCCTCTTAACTTTTTCTTCACACACCACCATGATCCACAACATCCTATTTTGGTCATGTCCTATCTTTTCTCTTTGAAACAAACTCTTTTGTTTCTTTTTTCTACTTTTGTCCTCATTCAGGATCTCAACACTCAGCTAGACAAGTCTCTTTTCTGGCATCCCTGTCTCCAGTCCATCAAGATAATCATAAAACCCAGCTTGATCACACTTCAGAATCTTTTTGAGCTGCTTTTTAAGATAAATGTTAGAATCTTTTGCTTAGCATTCAAAGCCCTTCAAGAGCTTTCTCTAATGCCAGTCTTTCCAAATTCATTCCCTGCCACTCCCCCAACCAGTTGCTCTGTGCTTTTGTAATTATCCTGCTACTTGTAGTCTTTCCTACAATTCAACCCTGTTTTCCTTCCCCTTTTCCTACTGTTTGTGTGTGACTGTCTCCTTGGGAGGCAGAGTTAGCTGCCAAGGGATACCTCCCAGGACCTTTGTGCATCACAAATATGTGTCTTCTCCATCTGAAGTCCTAATCCCTCTGCTTGTGACGGACAATTTGTCACTATGGCAACTGGCTGTGACATCACAGGATAAGGACTTCAGGTGAAGTGGCAGGAGCAGGTGAGTGTGTAGGAGACAGATTTTAATGTCTGTTGGAGCCCCCTCACTCCTACTTCAGTGCCGGGGGCATGGAGGGATCTCTTGGGCTTCTGCTGTTTTTTAAAAATGATGCGGTGAGAGTGTGTGCCTGATATCTGCGTGCTGCAGCAGTGTGGGGCTGACAGAGTGTGTCAACTTGAGCTCTGGCTGTGCAGGCACCGCTGCTGCGTGAGCCTGTTATTCCATTCTGGATTGCTATTTTGATACTCAGATTGCATCATTCTTCCTACGTATAAACAGGGGGTCCCCAGGGCCCTGCAGCTACTCACTTCTCCACCAACACTGTTGTTGTGATGAGCTCTATTTAAATGAGCTTCCAGATCCAGGCAGGTTCCAGCCACATATGAACACTGTCATTTTGGGGAACATGGAGGGCTGAAGGATTTTTGGATCGAGTCCTAAAAGGCCGAGAGTGATGGCCTCCCGAGCTGTGCAGAGGGCGACAGAGCTAGTTCCTGAAAGTTGAAAATCTCGTTTTCTTCCTTCTGAGCTTCAATTCCGAGGCACCCAGAGGATTAGAAAGGAGATGCAGCTAGGAAGAAAGTCGCCTCTTGGAGGTCTCCCTTTTGCTGTTCAGTTTGGGAAAATTGCTGCAGAGCCTTCGAGATAAACAGGAACAGGAGGAGTCAACCAAGCTCCTTCTTGCAGGAGCAGCCCAGGTGAGCTAGAGAAATGCAGCCCTGGCTGAGAATGCATCAGAGCAAGGAGGAGAGGCTCCAGGCTGCTCCCCCTCCTCCACCCAGAGCCCAGCTCCCCTAGGCTTAGGCCTTGCAGCCTAGCTGGCTGCAGCATGCAGAGTGGGTGCTCCTGGGCTCCTGGTGAGCATCATCGTCCAGGACCAGTGGTGGTCTCACCTGTCGCTCCTCTGAGTTCTCTCCTCTGACTTCTCTCTCAGGTGTTGCTCTAATTACAGGGCAGCAGGGTGACAGGTAAGCCTGCTGGCAGCCAGGGGCAAAATTGGGAGTTACCCTAGGGGTGTCTTGGATCAAAATCTGCCTTTCTAGCAGGGACTGAGCATCTGAGGAGTGGATGAAGGTGATGCTGCTCTGAGTTATGGGGTTGGGGAAGGTTTCAGGGGCTTGTGAGGGGCCTTACTTGATGCTCAGAATACTGGGGCTGCCTATGCTGGGAAGGCATAAATGGTTTGTGAGGATGGCCAGCCTGCCAGAGCATACACACACAATGTTTCTTCTTGCTTAGTACCTGGCAAAGGCATAGTGAGGTAGAGTGTCTTATCTGTGCCTACAGAGGTAACCAAGGACTCCTCAGTGGTTTAAAGTACTACCTATGTTTTACAAGGGCTGTGTAGTTTTAACCAAGTCGCTGCTTCTCTCAGTACCTCTGTGTCACCCTCTGTGTGGTAGGGAATTGGCAAGATGAACAGTATAGGTCTGTCCAGCTTTGGTTCTACATGTGAATGGTGGCAGAGGGGCACAGGATCCTGCTGCTCTGTTTGGGTGAGACCTTGGGCCCCAGCTGTGAAGTTTCACAGAGCTCTGCACAGTGAAAGGCTGAAAAGTGAAAAGCTTCCCAACCCTCAGAGGTTTGCTTAGCACTAGGCTCAGGCTTGTGTACTTGAACTGTATGTGTTTGCTGGTGGCCTGAGCTGACCCAATGACAGTTTTCTGAGACCTTTTTGGGATTTCTGTCCTACCCCAGTCCTTTGGTGCCCAGGTTGCTTTGGCCCTGCTATTCATGTCTGAAGGGTAGACTACCCATCTAGGCCCACCCCATTCCTTGCTTCCCCACTAACACCTGGGCTCAGCACACTGTCTAGGCCCCAGCAGCAGTCATTGCAGAGCCAAACCTCAGGCCACACATCATGCTGGGGTCTTTTAGTTGAACTGTGAGTCAAGAGAGGTAAAATGTGTCCTTCCAACTTAGTGCCAACCCTGAGTACCTGGGTATCAGGATGCCCTTCTGTCTGTTGGCAATCTGTCCTTTTCTTTGCCAGAGGGGAAATCCATCGTAGGGTTTTCTGAACTTTCTGCCTTTCTCATCTTCATATACAGGGGACAGAGCTGTCAGGGGAAGAGAGACCTCCCTCTGAGGTGCTGGTCCTCAAATGGTTACACATTGCAATCAGCTGGAGAATTAAAAAGAAATAAGGATGCCTGGATTCAACCTCCTGAAACTCTTATTTAATTGGTATGGGATATAAACTGGACATCAGGATTTTGTGTGTGTGTGTGTGTGTGTGTGTGGTTTTGGGGATGGAACCCATGACTCAAAAGTTCCCCTTATGATTCAAATTTGTAGCAAAGTTTGAAAACCACTGCTCTATAGAAAGAATCTGCCTCCAGATTTATTTTCTCTAGGCAGTAAACTTCATCTCACTTGCCTTTTCTCAAAAATCATATTTCTTAAAACTTTCAACAACAGCTGGGGGTGGCTCCCAGTTCCTTCTGGATTCCAGAGTCTAAGTCATTATTATAGTCAGACCAATTTTATGGTCTAAACATTATTATGATTATATTATATCATTATTTAATCAACTAGTTAATTAAATGATCTTATTTATTTATAATTGAATTAGGGAGGAAAATATAGCACAGTAGGAAGAGTATAGTTTTTAAGGCAGACAGACTTTGGTTCCAGTCACACAGTTCTGCCCCCGACTTATATGATCTTTGATACGTGACAACTTGGAGCCTCAGCTCTCCAACTATTAAATGGGGACAATACCTATTTCTCAAAAATGGTTTGATGATTAAATGAGGTAACACATATGAAGTGTACCTGGTACAGAAAGTTGTGGTAAACAGATGTAAATTTGTCCCACACCTCCTGGGGACCAGAAACTCATTTGTTTATTCACTTCTTGAGACGGTGTTTCTCTGTGCAACCCAGGCCGGCCTGAAACTCAAGATCCTCCTGCTTCAGCCTCCCAAGTACTGGGATAATAGGCTTGTGCCACCATGCCTGGCTCACCTGACTTTCTGACAAAGATGATAGCCAAATCAACATTTGGCTGGCTGTCCTTTTCCATCTTGCCTTGGGGAATATTTATGAAGTCTGACTGCAGTAGGCATAAGATAAAGGTTGGATAATCCATATTTCCTTGCTATTCCTATTCCCCTCATTTTAATCATTTGGTTCAGCGAAAGGGGATGACTCACCCAGGGTTACACAGTCACATCACAGAGCCTTTCCCAAGCAGCACATCCCTGCTTTACTTTATCATCCTAGGCTGGCTTTTCTCTATTACCCAGAAAACTTCCATGTGGCTTCTTACTACTTTCAGTGACTGTGAGTCAAGGAATACACATGGAGAACACCAATCCAAAAAAAATATTGGTGTCAAATCTGCTAAAAAAAATCAAGCCATATCTTTTAATGCCAATTGTGGATTATTTTTGTATGTGGATATGAGCAGGTAGTTAAAATGCAGTGTGGTACTTGTTATACTAGAAGCATGTTCAAGGAGGGACTAATTAACACATCCTAGGGGAAATCAACCCTGCTTTTCAAAGGTGGAGCATTTGAACAGGTTGGAAGGATGAATAGGAGTTTATCTGAAAGTAAGAAAGAATATTTCATTGAGAGGAATAAGCACTGTCACAGATGGAGGCATGCAAGGGTTTGGCCTGTTCAGGAGATAGCAGAGATATTTGACATGCCAAAGATATAAGGTGCAAGGCAGATGAAGCTAGAGATTAGACTAGGGGAAGGTAAGGCCAATTTAGAAAGGGCCTTGAATGCCAAACTCAGGATTTTGGCTTTGAGGCTAAGGGAGGTAGAGGATGTGTGGTGAGCCCTTTTCTGATCAGTTTAGTCCTTTTTCTTTTCATTTTGTTAATGAGGCTGTGTTACTGTGATTAATGTTTTGGCATCTCGTGCAGGGAGTTGGAAGTAATTTTCAACAATCAGAGTAGCATTTCTTTCCTTGAGGTAGATGAGGGGTGTCTTCCCAGGGTGAGCTAAGTGTATGGAAGGGAAAGTCACCTGACTGCTCTGGAAAATGTCACTTGTGGAGAGCATCCTTTTCTGCCTCTGGCCACTGTTCAGGACTGGCAGGAAAATAGTCAGGAGATTCCAAATGTAGTTTTGTCATTAAAGTCCATGGCTCTGTAAGGACTGGGGGAATTTTTCTTTTGGGAAGAGGAGGGAGTATTAAATTATTGTTTTATATGATTTTGTGGACTTTAATTTTTCCAGATTGTAACAATTATCTTTTGCTGCATAATAAGCTACCCCAAGTGATTAATCAACTAAACTTTATTCAGTTTATGATTTTACAGATTGGTAATCTGGCTAAGACTCTCTGGTGCTTCTTCCTCTCTGGGCTGAGCTTGGCTAATCTTAGCTGTACTCCCTCCTGTGTCTGCATTCAGTTGGTAGGTCACTTGGATCCAGCTGGTTTAGGATAGCTGTAGGAAGGATGTCTGAGACAACAGAGGCCTCTCTCCAAATGGTCTGTCATCTTTCAGCAAGTTAAACCCAAGGTTTGTTTTTTTTCACATGGCAGGCTTAGTGCTCTAAGACAAGAGCAGAGTCATATAAAGCCATTAGAGGTGCAGGCATTCTTTTGGCTAAAGCAGGACCTGAGGCCAGCCTAGGTTGAAAGGGTACAGAGTATTTTTTTTGATAATAGAATTACAGGGAGGAGAAAAATTTGTGGCCATGTTTTCAATCAACAGATACTGTTACTTACAGTATCTGACTTTCATCACCAGGGAAGTTCTTAATTGAAGTTGTCACTTTACTATGAATGGGATGTAAGGAATATTTTGAATTCGAAATCCCGGTTCATGGAGGACTGTATGTATTCTCAAGTATTGTTTAACTTAAGTCTCACAGCAACTTTTTTTCTCTTTTCTTTTCCTTTCCTTTCTTTTTTTTTCTTCCTTCTCTTCTCTTTTCTTTCTTTTTTGAGACAGACTCTTGCTGTATGGCCCAGGCTGACCTTGAACTTAAGATCTTCCTGTTTCAGCTTCTCAAGTGCTAGGATTATAAATGTGTGCCACCATGCCTGGTTATCACAGCAGCTCTAGTTTCCCTTTCTATTTTACATATGATGAATCACAGGCATAGAGGAGTTAAGAGGTGAAGTAACTTGCTCAAGGTCATTGGATGATAGACCTGGCATTTGGGCTTACATTTGTTTGACTGCAAGTCTAGAGCAACTGCCATTGTTTCATTTGTTTTTATGTTAATAAAATGAGGCTGAGAAGACTGCAGTGGTACTGCTGCTATCACTGCCATAGCCAGCTCCTACCTCCCCAGGTCAGCCTCATCCCTGGATGCAGGTACCTGCCCTGCTCAGGAGACTCATTTTCTTGTTCCCAGAGGGCTGACTATTCTTGGAGTGGGCCTGAAGAATCACTGTAGTCTCCAGGTGGCAATCTTATGCTATTTATGTAGTTTAGAAGCCCACTATGTTAAGGAATGAGTTGGAGTTTCCTCTGGGAAGACTGTCAAGCTGTTCACAGGTGATGCATGTATGTGTGTGTGTGTGTGTGTGTGTGTGTGTGTGTGTGTGTGTATGTATATAGTGTACCTATCATGGAGTAGGTGGAAGCAGCCTAGAAACATATTTCTGAGCCCCAGGAACAGACTGATTCTCTTGGCTATACCAAGAGAAAAACATATCCTACTTGAGCAGGCTAAGAGGCACTTTTGTTTCTCTGACTAGTTGTGAGATGCTGAAGTAATCTTGCTACATAGTAATCTTAATGACTTAATGTTCTGGGCTAAACTAACTCTGGAGCTGTCACTGTTGGGAACTGAGTTCTCAGGGGTGTCAAATGAGGAATGCAAGCAGCAGGAAGGCATCTGATTGTCAGAAGCAGGGCAGAGCAGGGTTTATAAGTAGCATGGTTCATGGGGAGGAGAGGAAGGTAAGACCAGTCAAAGTCATAAATGTGAGGAGACCAGATAATCTAAAGGGCAGGCCCTGATGGTACTTGTACAAATTTTGGCACAAGTGGGTACTGCCACATATCTTGATGCTGTGTATTAGAAAGCCTATATCTTATATAATCTGTTACATTGCTCTGACTCTGTTGTTTTTCTTTTCCCCCTAGAGCTCATCTCCTGTCCTGGGTATAAGCGAGTTTATCTTACCAGGGATGTAACTGAACATTTTTTTCTGCAGTGCTTTCCTACTGGGCAACCCAAAATGGCCAGGGTAAGTAAAGACAAGGAAATAAGCAACTGATCCTTTTCAGAAAATTGTGAGACCCCTGTCCATGTGTCTATCCACCCTTCACTCTGACTTGTTTATCTTCCACCAGTTTTCCTAATCATCTTTCCATCCATCCATCCATCCATCCATCTAGAAGGAAATAAAAATGTTTGAGTTGGGAGAAACAAAGTACGAATTTTCTATTAAGTGAAAATTACAGGCTTTTTTAAGTGTCAATGTTTGAATGGAAGCTGAATGTGTCTTAAGATATTAAGTGTTGCTTAATTTATCTAGTTTTTTTTCTTTTTCTTTATAGCTCTTACTGAAAAATATCAGTACTGGGATTTTATTTCCTATTTTCTCCTCTTGCATTGAAACTTGCACACCAGCCTGGATTTAACGGGTTTATTAATCTTGCCTGTACTTAACAACTATTACCTTTTCCTTGAGTTTCTAAATTTTACATCGCTTATTGACTGGTACTCCTGTTCCCCTCTCCACTAGGGTATCCTTACCATTACTTTTTATTCATTCACTAATTTACTTACTCGTTCCTATATGTAATACTTTTTAAAAATTTCTTTTTCTGTAATTTTTACATTTTTTTTTGTATTTCTTATATCTAATTTTATTGAATGTCTGTATGTACCACACCCTGTGCTAGGTGCTAGGAAGATAGACCCATGTATTCTACTTCTAAGGAATTCATAGTTTAATTAGTGAAACATTCAGAATCCACATCAGTTTTGTGGCCTGTGTGATTCATGTACAGACAGGTTAAGTTTCCCCAAATCTCCTCTTTTTCTGATGTTTCTCATTAGCCCTGGCAAGATATTTGCTGACCAAATGAAGAACATTTGCACCAAGAGAGGAATAAATACTCTCAGGCCAGGCAGACTCCAGGTGTGGAAACACAGCTCTGAAAGTTAGTCTGTACTTGCTTTTTCTTAACTGTATATAAATCATCTTTCTGTGAACTCCTGTGTCTGGAACTTTCTCTCCTTTGAAGGTGTGCTTGAATGTTCTGCCTTTGCCCGTGCTTTCCCTGTGTTGTAACTTTTTCTTCCTTTGTCTGCCTGGTGAACATACTTGTCATTTAATGCCCAACTCAAATGTTACCTCTTGGGGAAAATTTTCTTGGCCAATCCTAGGCTGAGTTCCTAGAAACCCCCTTTTGCTTCCTTAGCACTCGTCACATCTTTTTTCACAGCATTGCCCATCTAATGGGTACCTTTCTGCCCAGGCTGAGTATGCCTTGAGGGCAGATCCTTGGCTTTTTTTTCTGGGTCTCAGATGTAGCTCAGGACTATGTGAATTGTCCCTGAGGTGACCACTGTTCATTCAGTCAGTCACAAAGGGTGCTTTTCTTCACAAGCAGTGCCAAGCAGTTCTCCAGGACCCCAAAGTCGTAGAGGAACAGCCTTACAAGGACCCCTGTCCCTGAAGCATTTGCTACACATAGAGGCAAGCTAAAAGGAGGGATATGGTCAGTAACTTCAGACTTTCTGCTTCCAGAATTGCTCTGAGTGCAAGGAAAAGAGGGCAGCACACATCCTCTGCACCTATTGCAATCGCTGGCTCTGCAGCTCCTGCACAGAGGAGCACCGGCATGGCCCTGCCCCTGGGGGCCCAGTCTTTTCCCGGGCCCAGAAGGGATCTCCAGGTACCAGTCTCCCTCTCCCTACCTGCCCCTATGCGCTAAAGCAGTGTGGAACCCTAAAATCCCAGGAGACTAGTTCTTTAGGCTCATTTCCCAGCTGAAGGAGATAGTAGGAATGGTTTCAGAGCGTTTTGCAAAAGAAGGAAGTCTCTTTTGGAGTCAAAGGGTGACTCACTCTAGCCTCTCCCTGTGGTGTGGGGGTGGGTAAGTGTGGGTGAGATGGTGCCAGGAGCATTATCTTGAATCATCATGGAAGCTAGCTGAGTTCCTACTTTCCACTTCTATTTAAACAACATACCTCATAGTTAGTGACTTAACAGTCTGGTTTGGGGCCTGTCCCTTTGTTCATCCAGCACCCTTCTGTTTTAAATGTCGATCTTCTTGAAAGACTTTTTCTAAGGCTCTTAAATTGTGGGAGAAGTTTTGTATTTGTTAAACCTACAGGAAACAGAGCTCATGATCTATCTTGGAGCCTGGCAAGGCTGAGTAGCTGGTTTCAGCCCCATAATAATAGGATCCTGATTTATGAAGAGGTTTAGGTTAATTGAGGGGTGGGTTATGATTCTGCAGGAGATCTTTGTGCAGCAGTAGTGAGCACATTCATTTTCTCCAGCAGGTGGTGGGATGCTGGGGCTTGATGATGTGCTTTTCCTGGACAGCTGAGCAAATCCTGCCAGGTTAACCTGGAACCTCACTGTCCTGGGGTCAGGCATCTCCTGTTTGTACATCCCTGCAACTCTGTGTCTCTGACCTATCCATTGACGGCTGAGGGCTGCTCAGTGGAATTTGACTGAGCAGTCTACCTGAGCAGGAGAAGCCCACATTCTCTATCTTCTTTGGCAGGAGTTAATGGTGGTTCTGGGGACTTTGCCTTGTACTGTCCTCTACACACACAGGAAGTGCTCAAGCTATTCTGTGAGACCTGTGATGTGCTCACATGCCATAGCTGTCTAATGGTGGAACATAAGGAACACAGGTATGGATGATGGATTGTCTACAGTGAGCTTGGGAGAGTGCTAGACTACTTGTGAGAGTTCTGGACTTTCAAGACCTTCTCCACAAAGCAGGATGTGGTAGTGCATGCTTCGAATCCCAGCACTTGGGAAGCTGAGAACGGAGGGTATGGAGTTCAAGGTCACCCTGGGCTACATAGTGAGTTCGAGGGCAGCCTGGGTTACATAAAGAGATCCTATCTTAAGAAAAAAAAATCCTCCCTCTGCTCAAGCCAACCTGCAGCCCCTGGGATGAAGGTTTTCTTTGCTTCTGCTGTAAGGCTTCTTTAGAAAAGGCCCAATGGGCCAGGGGCTTGCAGTGCCTTTGACTCTCCCAAAAGGTAATCATGGTCTCTCTGGACCTGGCTGAGATTGTGCACTGTAGGTATACCTGCTGGCTGGCATGCTCAGGATAGGAGTTATAGCCTTCCTCAGCTTTTGCTTTGTCTCCTCCTCTAGGTGCAGACATGTTGAAGAAGTTCTACAAAACCAGAGGATGCTTCTAGAAAGTGTGACTACACAAGTGGCACATAAGAAATCCAGTCTACAGACATCTGCAAAGCAAATTGAGGACAGGTAGCATAGGCTAGTCCCTTGTCAGTAATGGAAATGCTCTGTTCCTTCATTTCCTGGGTTCTAGTACCAGGCCATCAGATGATGTGCCCCTGGAGAGGATGTGCGGTTAACCAGATGTGGGCATGTGCCTTATATCTCCTGGACTTAGAGGTCTTAAGGATAGTGAGGGGTCTTTGGGTCATTAGTTGGTAATGAGGCAAAGCTAGTTCAGGACGATCAGAGTTAGTGGACCAAAGCATATGTTTTAAGAAGTGGTTGCTTGAGGACAAGAGTGTACAGTAGATCCTGGGGAAGAGAGTACTGTTTATTGTGAGGCTATAATAAGTCAGTGGCAACCTGACTTATTACTTTATCACTCCTTTCCCAGTGTTTTCCATATCAATCTACAGGTGACATTAGATCATTGGTACTTTACATAGGAAGAGTAGGAACCTCAAGCTCATCACATGGGAGGCACTGAGCTAGGCACCATACATTATTTTGTTCAGTTCAGTCTTTTACTCAGAGATTATCTCCATTTTACTGATGAGACAGAGATTCAAACAGGTTAGGTAACTTGAGATAACATAGCTAATCAGTGCTGAGCTGGTTTGGAAGCCATTTCTTTGGTAACTTCAAAGCCCAAGCCCATTCTTTTAAAAATAGCTTTATTGAAATATAATTTGCCTATCATAAAATCAACCTTTTAAAAGTATACAATTCACAGAATTGTGCAATTGTTTATAATTACTGTCTGTTTTTGGGACATTTTAATCTCCCCAAAGAGAATCCCCGTGTACGTTAGTCACTCCCTTCTCCCCCAGTCCTTAGAAATCACTAGTTTACTTTATGTCTGTACCCATGCCTTTTTACCTTATGATACTGTTTCTTGGACCGTTGTCCTTTATAAGACAATAAGTTAACATGAAATCATATTCATACTAACTCTGTCTTGTCCTGCCTCTAGTACTGCTTCAACTGGTGAGCTAGTCAACTGGTGAGCTACTAGACTGGGTGTAGACAAGCTATTGACTTGGGTGTGAATTTGAGGTTTACCTAGAAAAACCAAGTTGAACTTTGGGCCATTTGCCCATGTAGATTAAGGAGGTGGGTTATAAAAAGATAAGGGGTGGAGGAAGTTCTCTTTTCTTTGCCTGCCAATCCTAATTTCAATAGGTAGTCTCCAAGTTGTTGAATTTTATGTTTACTATCTCTCAGCTCTCAGGAGTCAGAAGGGAAAGACTCATTGTGTTTTGTCCCATAACATTTATAGGATTTTTGAAGTGAAGCATCAGCACAGGAAGGTGGAAAACCAGATCAAAATGGCTAAGATGGTTCTGATGAATGAGGTGAACAAACAGGCCAATGGACTCATAGAGGAGTTGGAGGTATATGTGGACAGATGGATTAGATAGATGCGTTCTGTGCTATCACTGGGTCATAAACCAGGCACATATCAAACTAGTACCAGGGCCAGAATGGCCTGAGCTAGAATTCACCTATTTCCTATATCCTAAAATGTCCAGCCTAATTTGGGGAGGGTAGCTCATTAAGGGCTGAAAAACCATTTTAAACTCTCTGCAATGGCTCTTAGGCAGCTACTGTCCTTGACTATGCAGGTTATAGTCCTGGAAAAGTCACACAACAACCTGTCTTCTTCAGCAGGTTATGCCCAAGAGATGTAGACATTCATTTATTTCTCCGTTCATTGCCCATTCCATATTTGTATTATAAAATTTCCCACCATCTCTCCCTCTTTTCCTCCATCCATCAGCAGCCCATGGCAACACTCTGGGGGTGCATTCACATTTGATTTCATCAGTGTTCTGATTAACCACACAGGCCACCAGACTTCCTAAGTAGGTCCATGAACAGAATCAAGAACTCTGTCTTCTTTCTCTGTACCCAGGGCATTGCAAATGAGAGAAAGCGGAAACTGGAACAGCAGTTACAGAGCATTATGGTTCTCAATCGTCAGTTTGAGCATGTGCAGAATTTTATCAATTGGGCTGTCTGCAGCAAAACCAGCGTCCCTTTCCTTTTCAGCAAAGAGCTGGTAAGATGAAACCTCTCATCTCTCAGCTTGTCCTTGAAGCAGATCAGAACAGCCCTGTGTCATAGGGGCAGTGAGGCTGTCCTTGAAAGTTCCCCTCCCTTTTTTTTTTGAGGATGGAAAGAGGAGTAAGATAGCATCTTTCCTTCAAACCCAGTCACTGCTTTTGGGTTAGTAAATGAACATCATCTTTTACCAAATCCCATGATATAAAGGATCCAGGTGTTGAAATGGTCTTGCCCTTCTCCAAGTTACTCAGCTGTGAAAGTCTTAGGTCATGGATTCAGATATTATCTTGGATGTGAGCGGTGTACAGACATCTCATAGAGTGTTACTGGGGTCTAGTGGGGGATTAAGAGGAAAAGGGGAATTGAAAAAGATTTTTGAAGTGTTAGGCTTGGGAGGATGTGGTACCCAGGGGGGATAAAGAATTTTGAGAGGGATTGGTGGGGTTTGTATTTGGATGTGTTGAATCTAAGTTGTCTGTAGGGCATCTGAAAAGAAGCATCCAAAAGCTGGTTTGATAAATGAGTCTAAAAGTCAGAAAACAAGTCAGGGTGAAGATAGAGAAGTGAGAGACACCGGGATATTGATGATATCACTGTGAGAAGTGTGTGAAGGGAGGAAAATAGAGCAATTCTGGAACATAGGGAATTCCATTATTTCTATAGAAAGGAAGAGAATGAGAAGAAACAGGTTAGAAGAGAAATAGGAGAATGTGGTACACAGAGATTAAGAGTTTCAATTTTTTATTTTTTTGCAGTACTGGGGTTTGAACTCAGGGTCTACACCTTGAGCCACTCCACCAGCCCCCCCCCCCTGCTTTTTTGGTGATGGGTTTTTTCAAGATAGGGTCTTGCAAACCATTTGCCAGGGCTATCTTTGAACCGTGATCCTCCTGATCTCTGCCTCCTGAGTAGCTAGGATTACAGGAATGAGCCACTGGTGCCTGGCTAAGAATTTCAATTTTAAGAAGTACTAAGGGGCAAGGAAAGGAGAATATGGGAGATGACCAGAGGAAAAAGAGCCATGATTTTGAGCCCTTCAACCTTTCCAAAGAGCAAGGGAGAGGGAGTTGTCATTCAGGCACAGATACCCAAATAAGTGAACTTTGGTGTTGTCAGATTGTGTTTCAGATGCAGCGATTGTTGGAGACAAATTGTAACACAGATCCTGGCTCTCCTTGGAGTATCAGATTCACCTGGGAGCCTAACTTCTGGACCAAGCAGCTGGCTTCCCTTGGTGAGTCAGGACCCATTTTGTGGGCTTTGTCTTACTTGCTAAGGATAAATAAAGGGAATTTGCTTAGTTTACTCCATAGGTCTGTGTATACCCAAGAGAAAGTATTTCCTGAGACTGTCAGTGGTCATGGAGTCATTCAGAAAACTGGAATGGGAAGGCTAAATAAACAATGGCAATATAAGACTTTATAACAATACCGGTCAAAACCTGAGCTACCGATTCTGCATGAATGTCCCTGTTCCCTTGGTTTCATTGCTGGAGAGGAGACGAGACAGTGGCTCTGCTCTCTAGAATGCTATATGGCAGGAGAATGTGTGTCTCTGTGGCCACATAGGGTAGTTGGGTGTGGGTACAAGCAGGGAAACCTTGGCAATAGTGAGACTGTGCGTTTATGTATATATTATACACATATCGTTGGTGTTGAGATGGAAGAAGATAATTCACCACCTTGTGCATTTTTCTTCCCTGCTGTAGTAATTTGCTGGCATTCTCTTTAGGCAGAATGTAGACAACTTGAAGTCATGTCTGTGTTGATAGCCTAATGGTCTTGTTAAACTAATCACTAACTGCTGCCTTCATTTGAGGGTGTTAATCTCATTGAAAGTTTTTGACCTTGGCAAAGTGATAAGTGATATTAGATTTATTTTTCCTTCCCTCTCTCCTTTGATTTAGTTCAACAGACTTTTGGTGGGTACCTGCCCTGTGTTAGGCCTTTGGCTGGGCACTAACAGACCAAACGTGAATCAAACACATACTCTGCCTTTTAAGGAGCTCAGTCTTTCCTAAGCAATCCTCATGAAAACAATAGGGAGAAGGATCCAGAAAACCAGGAGAGCAATGGATATAAATCTGCTCATGCACAAGGGGCTCAGAGATCTCAGTGGGCATTGCTGGTATCTTGCACTAACCTGGCATGGGAGCTTCCCCATTCACTCCCATTTTACTTTCCCAATACACAGTTCCCCAGACTTGTAATTGGAGACTTTCTTATTTGTCCCAGAGATGACTCTTCACCCTTTGCTATTTTCCAGCATATCCCCACCCCCAAGGCTGATTCTTTCTGTTAATCTTGATTGGCTGTTGTGCTAAAATAAAAACGAAAGAAAGAAAGGGAGTATGTATTATGAAAAGGAGCCCATGCTTTCCCTAGTGGGATAGAAAGAGTCAGGGCTGATCATCTAGTAAAAGTTGAGCCAACTCCTCAAATATTCCTGACTATGAAAGCAGGTTCACACAGGTGCTATTGTGGTAACATTCAGACTGAGTCTTGGAGATCAGGGGTTGAATTTCTTAGTTTCTGTGCCTGGTATGGGTTTGTTGAATGATGGCCTTTGATCCCAGGAGTAGGAAGAAGTAAGGTGGTGGGGGTAGCAACTGCAGATTATCTTTGGAAAAACTCTCTATTCTGAATTTCCAGGCTGCATAACGACTGAAGGTGGACAGTTGTCCCGTGCAGATACTACTGTATATGGAGGCTTACAGGGGCCATCATCCTTTTATCAAAACCACCAGTCCCCAGTGGCTCAGCAAGAGGCCCTCAGCCACCCCTCACACAAGTTCCAGCCTCCAGCACTGTGCTCCTCATCTGTGTGCTGCTCCCACTGCTCCCCAGTCTCACCTTCCCTCAAAAGCCAGGTCCCCCCACCCAGCATCCACCCAGCCCACAGTTTTAGACAGCCCTCTGAGATGGTACCCCACCAGCTGGGGTCCTTGCAGTGCCCCACCCTACTACCCAGGGAGAAGGAGCTGACCTGCAGTCCTCATCCTCCCAAGCTACTGCAGCCCTGGCTGGAAACCCAGCACCCTGTTGAACAGGAGAGTGCATCACAGCAGCCAGGGCAGCACCTAACTTCCCAGCCTGTCTGCATCGTCCCCCCACAGGATGTTCAGCAAGGAGTCCATGCCCAGCCCACCTTACAGACACCCTCCATCCAAGTCCAGTTTGGCCACCACCAGAAGCTGAAGCTCAGTCACTTTCAGCAGCAACCACAGCAGCAGCTGCCACCTCCATCACTTCCACCACCTCCACCCCCTCAGCAGCCACCCCCACCTCTGCCTCCATCCCAACATCTGGCTTCCAGTCAGCATGAGAGTCCTCCTGGGCCTGCATGTTCCCAGAACATGGACATAATGCACCACAAGTTTGAGCTGGAGGAGATGCAGAAGGACTTGGAGCTTCTGCTTCAGGCTCAGCAGCCCAGCTTGCAGCTGAGTCAGACCAAATCTCCTCAGCATCTTCAGCAAACCATTGTGGGGCAGATCAACTACATTGTGAGGCAGCCAGCGCCGGTCCAGTCTCAGAGTCAGGAGGATACCCTTCAGGTGAGCCACTCCATCCTAGGTCTGCTCAGAGAATACAGCCTCTCTGGTCACAGAGTGGCACAGGAAATAGCTTTTTTTTTTTTTTTTTTAATTTTAAAGTGGCCTTGAGCTAAGCTCTTGAATTTCAAAACTACCCTGGACTCAACCTCCTTTAGCAAAGCTGTAGAGAATATAGTACCTGGTCCCAATATAGATCTGGACTCAGTCCTTTCCAGAGTGGCCTGGTGCTTGGCCTTATCCTCTGGATGACAATAAGGACTTTGTCCATAGATGGTACCTTCTGAGCTATGCTGGACTCTTGCCAGGGCCACGGCAGAAGGGAGGCTGTTTCTTATCTTTGTAACCTCCCAGACTCCCTTGCTGCAAACTTAGAGTCCTAGATAGGGGGAAGAGAAAAGTTTAAGGAATGGAGAGAGGATATTCATTAGGTCCTAGTGGGTGGTACTTTTGTCACACTATGCAGGCATAGATTTAACTTTATTTTATATTTTTTAATCTAGGTTTATTTTATATATACATATAATTTATCCCATCATCAGTATACTTCAGTAGGCATTAGAGAGGGCAAGCAGCTTGCCTAGGAGATCATACAACACTGAGAAGTAGAGATAAGACTTGGATCCAGGTCGGCTGATTTTTCTGTAATGCCATAGAAGAGGCCTCAGTCTGTCTTTAGGGGGATATTGAATGCTGATTCTCTATTTTTCTCAGCTAAAAGATAAATTAAAAAGTATAGTTTACACCTCTGGGATCTTTCTTACTTTCCATATTTTCATTCTTAGTTCCAGATTTTCTTTTTCTTTTGGACCTCCTGTTCCAGCCTCTTTTTTCTACCCTTTTCACTTTTTCCACAGTGGTGTCTCCTTTAAATATATAATTATACTCATATCTTCAAAGAAACTCTATAGACTTTTGATTTATTATAAAATATAAAGCCTCATATTTATGCCTCATAACTGACAACTTTAGATAATGCTTCAAATGTTATCTCAGAAGGCTTAGTTCCTTTGAGTAGGTATAGAATAATTCCTGTGATGCCAGAGAGTCTAGGGTTTATAGAGGGTCACAAGCTAAATATTTGTCAAAACCGTGTTACGGGGCTAGGGGTATAGCTCACCTAATAGAGTGCTTGCCTGGCATGCATGAGCCCCCAGGTTCAATTCCCAGCATTGCAAAAATAGCTACAACAACAAACAAAAAACCAAAATGAAACAAAAGAAAACAAAACAACACCATGTTATGATTGCTAAAGCCAATGTGTCAGAGTTAGTTCAGAATTCTTGGTTTGGGGGGGTGTCTATCCTAAGACTATCATATTAGGGTATAGTCTTAGGAAGAGTTTAGATAAGATTATTTTTCTTTTTGAGAAAACTTTAAGCAATTCACAAACTTTAAGCAATTCACAAAGTGAAGGTAGTGACAATGGACAGGGCACAGTGGGCCTTGGCTATTGCTGCTTCTGCTACTCTCTGCAGTGATACCTACCCACGTTCTTGTTTTTTATTCTAGGTTACAGATGAGCCTTCAGCATCTGAGGGCCCAAAGCCAGCTCTCTCTCTTGACAAGAATACTGCTGCCACCTTGCCCCAGACATCTGGGGAGGAAACTCCTCATAGCGTCCCCTCAGTGGACAGCACCATCCAGCACTCTTCTCCAAATGTGGTGAGAAAGGTACTAATGGAGCCTGCTCTCTCTGACATGGTATTCACTGCCAGCCAAGATCCCAGGCACATGGATGAGGATGATGGGGTGGGGGGAGGAGTGTCCCTGTTTCATTCCCGAATGCTACCCATCCCTGATGCATGCCTTCTGTCCTAATCAGTCACCTCAATCTGCACTCCCATGTACACACTTAACATGGGGCCTATAGTGCTTCACTTCGAGTAGAAGGGGAAAGGGAAAGAGAGCCAATTTACTGAATACTCACTCTGTGCCTGGAACTATGTATGCTGTTCCACAAGCATTGTCACTTAACCCTCCCAACATTGGTATGAGCTGGGCCATTGTATAGCTAAGGAAACTGGAGTCTGGGGCCCTGTAGCTAGCAGAAGAAAGAGTTGAGGTTTACTTAAAATGAGATCTTTTAGAATCCAAAGCCCAACCTTTTATTTTCTGCAGTGAAAGTGGGGAAAATATTTTATGTGACCCCCACAGCCTAAAGTTGGTTGTCCTTAGAATTTGAATTAATAGAATTTGTTGGACATTCCTGTAGAGGTAGTTGAGTACCTAGGAATATTAAGATCTCTTGAAGATAAGCTATCTGAGGCCTTTCTGTCTACTTGCCTACCAGCTTGATAGAAGGGTTAATTTAATCGGTAGAAACCCAGATCCCAACAACTCAGCTGTCCTAGGGAGGACTCATTCCCTTCACCCCCCACCCATGTCCTCCTTCTTGCTGGAACCTCAGTACTGTGCCATGCCTTCCACTCACCCTTGCCTGTACCCCATGGGCCTGTTCTACTTATCTTATTGTATTCTTGCACCTGGTGTCCTCTGTCTTTTTGGTGCTTCTACCCAGTCCTGGATTTAAGTCTCTGTTGGCTAGCCTGTATCCTCCCAGTTTGTTCCCTCAGCCAGGCAGCACCACTCTGGCCCTGAAGTTAGTTGCTTAGTGTACTACCCCTTATCAAGTTTCCCCAGCATCACCACTGTCTTAGATTGCTCAGTCTCAGGGTACTGGAGAAGAGAGTTTAGAAAAGGAAGGGAAGGCAAATATAAAATGTTAACTTGAAAATTCCCCGAGACTCTTGAAGTCTGGGCAGGCATCTTATGTTAGTGCCCTTTTTGTTTGTGCCTATCCTGTTGAAAATAGTTTGGCCTAGAGGTACTTTAAATAAGCCCTTTGTGGGTCTTATGGTTTTAACTTCTTATACATGGGTCCTTCTTCCATTCATCATTTTATTTATTCATTAAGTGTTAATTATACACACAAACACACACACACATCTCCTAATATGTGTCATATTCTGCTATGTGCCTGGCACATATTGGTAGATATTCAGTCCTACACTGGAGTTTATGGTCTGGTGAGATAGATAAACAGGCATCAATAATAAGTTATGGTAAAGTGCTGTGGTAGTCATGGAAGGGTTCCTTAGTGGATCACCTAACTCTATGAGCGGGGGCTTTTCACAGAACACTTCTTTGATGACATGATTTTAAGTTAAGATTTGAAGGAAGAGAAAGAAATTGGGCTGGTGAAGGGAGGAAAGGTTGAATATATTAGTGGAAGGGAATGACAACCTGGAAAGTCCAAATGTGAGAGAAAGCCTGAGGCACTTAGGGTTTGACTTGATAGGAACAGAATATGTAGTGGGGAGTGGGAGTGAGTGCAACCAGATTGGTAGGAAGACCTTGTTAATTATGCTTAGAGTCGGGATTCAGTTTTGGGAAATAGATTGGGTGACTGATGGACTTTCATCAAGGAGGGATATGGCTGAGTTAAATTTGAAAGGTCACTTTACCAGTGGTAAGAGAGACTAGAGCAGTACAGAGGAGAAATAGGAAGTTGAAGGAAATCAGTAGCCATAAGAATGAAGAAGAAGCAAAGATTTTGAGAGCTGTCAGATCACAAGAGTTTAGGATTCAGTGTCTGATTTGCAACAGGAGGTGAAACAAAGAAAGTCCTTTGGCTCAATACCCAGGTCTATCTTGACCCACTAGTATGGGAACATGGGGAAAAGAACACATTTGATGGGAGGAAGAAGTTAAGTTTTGAATTGCGGATGCTCTCCCATAGAAAATACATTAGAAGATGACCGGCAAGCAACCGTTTTAGATGTCCAAAATTTATCAGGAAGCAGGAGTCTTGCCAGTTCTTGAATGGTGGTGAAAGCCACGTAGGAAATGTTGCTGCTCACTCGATGATGCTCAGCTGTCATATACACAGTATGAAAGAAGGCAGGTGAGCATGGAGGCTGTGTTGCCTATGTGAGTGGCTCCCAGGGCTCTCTGAGCAGCAGGGAGGTATCACCCTTCAGTGTGGTTGCAGGCTGCCAGTGGGTTAGTGAAGGTCCTGGGAACTCTAACTTCTCATTTTGAGCTGTCCTGGCCCTTATGAACTGGGGCTTAGGTAGAGGTTTGGAGGAGAAAATAGCTTAGCATTTTTAGACGTTTTATAGGCTTCATTAAGGCTTTGACTCACAGAAAAAGGACCCTCAAGGTTGGGTCCAGAGGAACCTTTGGATGGACAGAGAGATGTATACACAGCTACTGAAATAAGATAAAGGGCTTTCTTTTTGAGAGAATTTGTTGCTTTGAAGCTGGGGTTGAATGGGTGGAGGGTGGGAAGCTTGAGGATACCAAATATCTTGAGCATATTATCATTGAATAATGGTACTTTGTTTAGTATTTTAAGACTTTTTTCATAGATTTTTTTTACATGGACTATTCCATTTTATCTCTTTGTTTATCCTAGCCATACTATGAGGAAGCCACTTTCTTATTCCCCTTTGAAAGATGTGGAAACTGAGACATAGAGACTTTAATTGACCTTAATAGTTATACAACTGACCAAGGGCAATGTTAGGAGCAGAGCACAGGTTCCTAACTCAACCCTGTGCTCAATGACTAGGTGTACTGCAGTGGGAGAAATGGGACTCCATTTTGGTCTCTCACTCACTGGATTTTCCTGTTTTGTAATCTTTGAAGTAGCCTGAGGTCTTTCTGAGGAGAGGTCTTAGGACTCAGTCTTGTTTGGTCTGGTTGTGTTTATCTGGTAAAGATGTTTTGGCCTGTAGCCACTCCTCAGCCAGGAAAGTCAAATGTCTGCCTGAAAGTCACAGAGAAGAGGAACCTGTGGCACATGACACCATGCCAATCCTACATTACCACTTTTGTTAGAGCAGAGCATCTGTGCACAAGGACCTTGGAGCTGGTGCTGACTGAGCTTATGGTGAAAACATTGTAGCTGAAAATGAGTTGTAAAAGTTATAGAATGGGTCTTTAGAGGCCTAAGCTCTGCACTCTCGGAAGCAGCTTATCCTACCACCTCCTTTATATCTATCAGGATATTTTAAAATAAATTTTGGCATTTTTCTGGCTGTAGCTGTTACCCAATCCTCGTTCAGCCACTCTCAAGAAATACGAGTCACAACTCTACAACAGAACCTCCTTGCATCCCTCCTTGAAACTGGAAGACATTTTGATGGCTTCATTTCATCCTTTTGAACTAGTTAACTGCTGAAAAATATACATGATCCTTTAAAGCCTCAAAGCTTTCTCATGGAGTCAAAACTGTAAGAAGCACAGAGCTCTGAGTTCCACATCACTTGCAATAGAGAGTTGTCTTCTGCTGTTCAGGGCAATTCCAGATCTTCTACACATGACTTTGAGGCCACCAGGATGCTGCTCATGGCTTAAGAGGAGTCTGGGATGTATTTACAGTAAATGATACAGAAACAGTAGGCATTCCTGTGACCCAGTTTATTAGGAGTAAAGCAGAAGATTAGGAGTGAAGCAGAAGAGCAAAGGATAATGACTCAGATGGATAGCATTTATACCATTATCAAAGCACTTTGATGTCCAAACTCTTAATTTAACTGAGTGACATTTACATCAACCAGTGGAAGAGGAAATTAAAGCCCAGAGATTGGGAATGACTCACTTGAATTCATACTGTAAACCCTGGTATGCATGAGGAAATACTAGGCATCTTGCCTTTATAACCTCCAAATACACTGCTAATGGACTAGGTCATGGATAATCAACTTTAGCAGTGATCTTTTCCTCATAGCCTGGCCCAGAAAGTAGCCAGGATGTCCCAGGGCCTGGTGAAGCTTTCTTAAAGTGTGTCCTGTGTCCTTGTCAGCACCTGTAGAACTACATAGGGATCTACTCCGCCTTACTGAGGAGTCAAGCCAAACACTCCCCAGATTTGATGTACTAAATTTAGTACCCTTTAAGAAGTCTGTCCCCTTAGTTCTATTATGACTTCATTCATAGACCAACCCTGAGATCTTTGCCTAGATCTCCTGGCCCATGAGAAAACAGACCCTTGCTAATAGGCCGTAAGTTTCCTTCAGTAGTCTGGGTAAAATACCTCTTGCTAAATTCTTCTGAGCTACAGAGATTTTGAGTTTCCTTCATCTAGCTTTCACTTCAGACTCACCAAATTCCACTTATTCCTTTCTCCTTCCTTCCACCTCAGTCTCTGTCTTCCTCAGGTCTTCAGGGCACTGGACACTTTTCACTACTTATCTCTTCACTTTTCCCATTTTATTTTGGTCAGTTGGACTATATCAGCGTCATTACATCCCTATGAATTGCCTTAACTAGTGTGAGAGCTTGTCACTGAGGTGAAAGGGCACTCACTAATAGCAACTTTGCTGTTAAAAATCAACATGTGAAATCAATTTCTGGAAAAGGTCTCTTCTTCGCCTGTCTTATTCAGCTGTATCAAGATCTACTACTTTTAGATCAGCCTGCCAAATTTTGAAGCTGTTGAAGCACTCATGTCTTACAAAGATTTAATCCACAAATCTACCCCTTTTCTTGTCTTATTTGTTTCCTCAGTCAGAGTGAAGACCTGTGTATTTCCAAGACACACCTTCCAAGTCATTGGTCCTTTTTACACAGTGGTAAATTTTTGGTAATTTTAACCACTGGAGAAAAACCTCTTTAACCAGAAGTGAGCAGGCAAAACTTTGGAGCAGCAACAGAAACAAATGGCA